ACACAAAAATGATTAAACAAATAGCTTTGACAAACATGCATTCACATTTGTATTTTTTGTTTTTTAAAGGGTCACGGAATACCTTACAAGCCTAATAGACCAAAGTAATTACATAAATGTGGTAAGTACCTTTCTTACGATTCAAATACAAGACTTCTAGATATAACTAACTCTGTAATGAAACAACAACGTCTTTAATAAGATGAAAAATCTATTGAAGTGTTTTAAAAAGTTGTAAGACCATTAAAACCGTTTTCTTTTAATTCTTTTGTAATGTAAACAATTTTTCAAATTTTGAATATAAAAAATAATTAATATATTAGTCATATAAAATGTTAGCATAAATTATAACTTTAAAAAAAAAAGTATTTTATTATTTACTCTAGGCTTAGGCCTCTACGTACTTGCTTTGGGATTTCAAGCAGGCATGCTTACTGAAAAAATCATACCCAATATATAAAAACTGTATACCAAATAGACCATACTAAAAAAAAAAAAAAAAAAAAAATTGTAACAGAGTCATCTCTATATAATATATATACATCAGGTTCAGGTGTGTTGTACGTTTCTTTATAAAAGAGTTATTATAGATTTTAGTCGTTGGGTTGGTACAACAAGATGTCGACATAAAGAAATCCAATCACAATAATTTATATTAAAGTAAGTCTACATAAAGAAATCCCATCACAATAATTTAAAAAGCAATAAAGCATATATGCCATTGCCATGTACTTATCACTGTCAACTTTGTCCCAAAACTCTCTTCATCATCATCCCCATAATCAGTTTGTTTAATTAGAAGACTTCACTATTTTCAGAAGACTTAGTGAATCACGCTCCACTATAGGTCCATGAGAAAAACAAAATGCTTATAAAACAGCTAACATTGTTACATAGCTTGACCCACATCCATATGCTTCACATCTGTACTAGGAAGTCATAAGTGGCCAAGGAAAATATTATATTTCACTTTAATAAATTGTGTTAGGTTCATCTTCCACACAGCCCTGAAATGGATGGGCTTCATATCTTTGCTTTGTTTGGTTTCTATTTTGCTTATAACACTGGTGTTACTAGAGCAACTATATGTTATGACACAGGGATTTTCACGAGTAATAGCACCATGAGAAACAGGAATCTGATTCTCTCATCTCTTGCTTCTAATGTCACTCTCCATGATGGTTTTTTTATACTTCAGATTGGCGAAGAGCCGGACAAAGTTTATGCTCTTGTGAATTTGAGGAGAGCTTCTGCAGAACAGTGTGCTAGTTGTGTAGTTCAGCAGCTAAAGATATTGTGAAGACATGTTTGAACCAAAGAAGCAGTCGCATGGGGAGGGAGTCCTCAATGCATTGTGCGCTATTCAAACCGCTCTTTTTTTGGCAAAATGGCTGCGGATCCTATGGCTGGAGCGAAAATAAAGATAATATAACCGTAAACATGACACAGTTTGATCAAGTTGGGAGAATTTGATGAACCGGTTGTTGAGAGAAGCTGCTGCTGGGCTAATAATTCTACAAATAAGTTTGCAATTGGGAGGAAAGTGTGACAAGCTTTGTGAAGATTTATGCACTCATGCAGTGTACTCCAGATATTTCACAGATGATTGTGAGATTGTCTTCGTCATCTGTGGGTTTTCTATGAGAGTCCCTACCATGGGAAGTCTGGCTGCCTATTATGAGACCTAGTTGTATGTATATCTGGAATTCGAGCGTTTCTATAACGCCACTCTTGTTCCTACGTCTTCTCAGCCGCCGCCGTCGCTTCCTTCTCCGGGGCTAGTTATCCCAAAAGGTAAGTTTCAAGATCCTTTCCTGATATGAACTTAACAAAAGCAACATCTTCTTCTTTCTTCAAGCAATTTCTAATCTTTAGCGAATCTCTTATTAGGATTCAACTCATGATAGTTCTCACCATCTGTCAGGAGAAAAAAAAAGAAAAAAAAAAAAAAAAGGAGAAGGATCTTGTAGGATTCCTAAGAATTAAATTCTTTTTTTTTCCGAAAGTAGATACTTATTTATTTTTTTCACATTTCCTGAATAGCCGGGACATTAAGAAATATCCATAAAGGCATTTGAGGGAATTGGTCTAATTTATCTTTGTTTTGTTTTATCAAAGATAGGAAGGATCCCGAATAATAAATCTTTCTTTAGTTGTTTGAATCTTTTTTTGATTGATCAATGAGTGATATTAGGAATCCTTATTTTCCATTCACTGTGGGTCAAGATTTTTTCCTTTAACGACCAATCCAGTCCTTATGTTCGCTCAGGTAAAGATTAGATCAGGAGATATAATTAAATATTTGACTATATATTTACACATATTTTCTGATTTGTGGATGCAGGCAAAGGAGGCATTACATCTAGAACTGCTATAATCATTGTTTCTTCTATAGTTTTTATCTTATAGCACTTGTTGTGTTCACTGTGTCCTGTTAGACAAAGGAGAAAGACAAAGCAGGAGATCATAAATAAGCAGGAGACAGAAGTATCTGCAATTTCCTTGCTATAAGACCACAATTTTTTCTTTTTTTCTGTTTTTGGAGTTTCAACTTGTTGCTATTATTGTTTAGATGTTGAAATTGGAATCCTTGCAATTCGACTTCGGTACTATCAGAGCTGCAACAAATAACTTCTCAAATGATACAAAGCTAGGACAAGGGGGATTTGGTGTTGTTTACAAGGTAGTGTTCATTAACCAAAATGCATATCAAATTGTCGTCAAATGGGTTAAATTGTAAGTTTTTAATTCATTGAAGCTATATAATTTCAGGTAGGCTTCTGATGGACGGACATGCTGTGAAGAGACTGTCTAAGGAATCAGCAAGGAGATTAGAATTTAAAAATGAGGTCCTTTAGTGGCCAAGCTTCAACATAGGAACTTGGTTAGACTTCTAGGTTTCTGTTTGGAAGGAAATGAAAGCTTCTCATCTATGACCTTGTCCCAATTCAAGTCTAGATAACTTTATATTGTGGTTTGGTTTCACTGCTCTTTTGCTTTGACTTCTAACATTCAGCTTGTAGCTTTTTCAGGACTAGAATATTTTACAATCTGTCTACAATCTTTGTCTTTGTGGATTTGCAGATCCAATAAAGCGTTTATTATGGTTGGGAGACTCGATACAAAATCATAGGGGCTAGCCCGAGGACTTCTTTACCTTCATGAAGATTCCAGGTTTCGGGTCATTCATCGTGATCTAAAAGCTAGTAATATTCTTCTAGATGTCGACATGGTTCCGAAATTTCAGATTTTGGAATGGCGAAATTATTCGAAATCGATCAACTCATGGCGATACAAGTAGAGTCGTCGGGACCTTGTAAGTATGTATATATAACATTACAACTTAGACCTTACTAAACAAATCAAACCCATTAATGGCGTTTTCAGTGGGTATATGGTTCCAGATATACTAAGCACGGACAATTCTCAATCAAGTCTGTGTTTTTAGCTTTGGTGTGTTAGTCCTGGAAATCAGCTGTGTCAAAAAAATAGTTCTTTTCATAATGAGAACAAGAAAAGATCTATTACCCTGTGTAAGTAAATACGATTCATTATCAATATATATTTTTTTCATTTCTTCTTCCTGGTAAATTCATATCAATAACCATGGAATCGTGTTGAATTTTTGCAGGCTGGAGAAATTGGAATGAAGGGACGGCTTTGAATCTGATAGATCCTAATCTAAGAGTTGGTTCTAGCAGTGAAATGATGAGATGCATCGCATTGGGTTGCTTTGTGTTCAAGAAATGTAGCCAATAGCCCTACAATGGCTTCAGTTGTTCTAATGCTCACCAGCTGCTCTGTGTCCTCCCAGTTCCCTCAAAACCTGCATTTTTAATGCAATCTAACTCGAAGGAAGATGATTCGGATCCACCTATGTTGGATCATAATGGGAATTATGTTCAACCTTCGTTGAATGAGGTTTCAATTACCGAGCTAGAAGGTCGTTAACATGTTTTCAACTCTCATGTCTTGATGTAAAAGTTGATAGTTCATGAGATTTTGTCCTTTAACGGTTTGCATATAGAAATGAACTCTTGTTAGCGAGAGGTAAAGTTCAGATTTTGAAAAATCAGGATGTCTGCAGGAAAAACAGATTGTATATATGTATAAAATGTCTTGAGAACAAACATTATTGAAATCAGATTGGATCTTCCTAAACACACAATAGTCCACTATTTTCTCACATCGAAGACAGCAAGAATTTGTCCTTTTTAGTGTTAATCCACACGGGTAAACAAAATTGGAATGAAGAAAGTTTTGTTTATTGACCATCTGGAAAATTTTTATATGTGAATCAATGTTAAAAAGGAATAAGAAAATTTGATTTTATGTATAAATTGATGCTTTTTAACCTTACACTATCCTTTCTCTGACGTTTCAATCACTCATCAAGTCATCATTGTTCACAACAGCCCACTGGCTTTGATTTTCAAAAGCTCCGTCTGTGAACATCCTTTGATTTCAAACCATGGATTTCAAAGTCTGAGTCCGCCAGTCAATTTGACTAGTCCACTCTGCATTCTATCTCTTAGCTTATTTGTTTTTATTGTGGAAGAGTGGTGTTCTCTTTCTTCATCTTCCCCAAGCTCATGAGAATGCATAACCCTGCAAAGGGTTTTAAACGTTTGATTTGTTTGGTTTCTTTTATGCTTATTATAAACATTGGTGTTACTAGAGCAACTATATGTTACGAATCGGGGAATTTCACAAGTAATAGCACTTATGAGAAGAACAGGAATCTGATCCTCTCATCTCTTGCTTCTAATGTCACTCTACATGAAGGGTTTTTTTATAATGCAAGTATTGGCCTGGAGCCTGACAAAGTTTATGCTCTTGTGAATTGTAGAGGAGATTCTTCTGCAGAACAGTGTGCTAATTGTGTAAGTTCTGCAGCTAAAGATATTGTGAATACATGTTTGAACCAGAAAGAAGCAGTTGCTTGGGAAGGGAGTCCTCGATGCATGGTACACTATTCGAACCGCTTGATTTTCGGAGAAATGGAGGAGGAACCTATGGTTGCGGCAAGCAGTGAGAATAATATGACGGTGAACATGACTCATTTTGATCAGACTTGGGAGAGTTTGATGAATCAGTTGTTGAGAAAAGCTTCTACAAGTAAGTTTGCGACTGGAGAAGCAAATTTGACAAACTTTGTGAAGATATATGCACTCATGCAGTGTACTCCTGATATTTCACAGACTGATTGTGGCACTTGTCTACTCCAATCTGTAGCCTACTATGAGGCTCACTACCATGGCAAGGCAGGTTGCTTTGTTATGAAACGTAGCTGTATGTATATCTGGGATTTGAATCATTTCTATAATGCCCCTCTTGATGCTCCTTCACCATCAGTTCCCCTTCCACAGCCAAAAATCTCGAAAGGTATGTTTCGAATTAGGATCCTCTCCTGTTTAGCTTCGATTGCGTGTGGTAAAGATATTATTTTCTGATTTGTGGATGCAGGCAGAGGAGGCATTACATCTAGAACTGTTATGATAATTGTTTCTTCTATAGTAGTTATCTTTGTTATAACACTTGTTGCCTTCACTTGTGTCCTTTTACGAAGGAGGAAGACAAAGCAGGAGACAGAAGGTATTTATTAAACTAGAGAATATTCTAAATTTGAGTTTTATGGCTGCCACAGTTCTATCTGCTATGGATAGCTAACTTGTTACTGTGATTTTGAAGATGGTGATGAAATTGACGATGTGGAGTCCTTGCAATTCGACTTCAGCACAATCAGAGCTGCAACAAATGACTTCTCAAATGATAATAAGCTGGGACAGGTGGATTTGGCGTTGTTTACAAGGTAGTATTAAGTGTTCATTAACCGAAAATGCATATTAATTGTCTTCAAAATGGGTTAAATTGTAAGTTTTTAATTTCTTGAAGGCTATATAATTTCAGGGTAGGCTTCCTGATGGATAGGACATAGCTGTGAAGAGACTGTCTAGAGATTCTGGACAAGGAGAATTAGAATTTAAAAATGAGCTGTGAAGAGATTGTCTAGGATTGAGGAATAGTAAAAAGTGAGTTAAGTGGGAGAATGTGAGTTGTAAACTCACTTTTTACAACTTGGCTGTCAAAGGTGGCTGTCAAAGATGGTGGGAAGCATTAATTGCCAAGGAACCACCATTGCACTTCTATAAATAGGAGTGTAGGAACTCAATAGATGAGTTACCACTTTTAGAATTTTCTCCTTCCTTTTGTTGTAGCAAAAAGTTATTTCTCCTATTTCCAGAGGGAATTTTATTTGCTTTTCTCCTTGTATTTAGAGAGAAGTTGTTGTAACTCATATTTTGCTATAGTGGAAATCATTCTTTACTTGCCCGTGGTTTTTCTCTCAATTTGCTTGAGAGTTTTCCACGTAAATTTCGTGTCTCAATTTTCTATTTGTTGTGTGATATTGCTTCAACACGATTGTTTGATTTTTCTAACAATGGTATCAGCGCAAGGTTGCTGGTATTGTTCACAGTAAAAGGTGGAAGCCGGTTCAAGGTAAGAAGCAAATCGTAGTCATCGCCATGTCAACAAAGTTCGAAATTGAGAAATTCAACGAAGTTAATTTCTCCCTTTGGAAATTGAGGATAAAGGCAATATTGAGGAAAGATAATTGCTTAGCAACAATTGGAGGTGTTAAACCAGTTGGAGTAACTGACAACAAATGGAAGGAGATGGATGACAATGCTATGTCCAACTTGTAACTAGCGTTAGCAGATACTGTCCTATCCAGCGTTGCAGAAAATGAGTTGCCCAAGGAAATCTGGGATGCACTTACCAGATTGTACGAGGTCAAGTCACTTCACAATAAGATCTTTTTAAAGAGGAGACTCTATACTATTCGAATGAGTGAGTCTACATCAATGACAGATCACATCAACAACCTGAATACGATATTTTCCCAACTTTCAGCTTTGGACCACAATATAGCAGTAAATGAATGTGCCAAGATTCTGTTCCAAAGTCTACCTGATTCATATGATCAACTTAATATTAACTTGACAAATAATGTTCTCATTGATTATCTAGTTTTTGATGAAGTTGCAGCTGCTGTTTTAGAAGAGGAATCCAGGCGCAAAAATAAGGAAGATAGATCAGCTAGCTCACAGCAAGCAGAGGCCTTATTAATGACGAGAGGAAGATCAATGGAACGAGGTTCTAGTGGGAGTCACAATCACGGCAGATCACAGTCAAGAAGTAAGAAAAATGTCAAGTGTTACCACTGTGGCAAGAAAGGGCATGTCAAGAAGGATTGTTGGCATTACAAGAAGAGTACGGAGAAGACTCCTGAGGCAACAAATTCTCAAGGATGTGTTGCAAGTATATTTGATAATGGAGAAATTTTATTTAGCGAAGCAGAAACCGATTCTAAAGGCAAAAAGTAGCTACTGATGTGTGGATACTAGATTCAGGAGCAACTTGACACATGACCTCTCACCGAGATTGGTTTCAGACATATAAACCTATCTATGAAGGATCTGTGTTTATGAGTAACGATCATGCCTTAGAAATTGTTGGCATTGGTACCATCAAATTAAAGTTGTTTGATGGTATAATTTGCACTATCCAAGGGGTACGACACGTAAAGGGCTTGAAGAAAAATCTATTGTCTCTTGGACAATTGGATGACCTCGGTTGCAAGACTCATATAGAAAATGGGATCATGAAGATTGTCAAAGGCGCGCTTGTAGTAATGAAAGTAGAAAAGATTGCGACGAATCTGTGCATGCTTTTGGGAGATACGTTACAGGAGGCAAACACTTTAGTAGCATCAACTAGTGAAGAATATTCAACGGCAATATGGCATCACAAATCAGGCCACATGTCAGAACGAGGTTTGCAGATTCTCGCTAAACGTAATCTCATACCAGGGCTTAAGCAGGTAAATTTACCTTTCTGTGAATATTGTGTTACAAGTAAGCAACATAGAGTAAATTTTGACAGATCTACTGCTATAAGTAAGCACATTCTAGAATTGATTCATTCTAATGTGTGGAAGTCACCAGAGATGTCCCTAGGAAGAGCAAAATATTTTGTATCATTTGTTGATGATTACTCTAGGAGATTGTGGGTGTACCCGATCAAGAAGAAGTCAGATGTGTTTCCAATATTTAAAGACTTCAAAGCGCAAGTGGAACTTGAATCTGGAAAAAGGATCAAGTGTTTGAGGACAGATAATGGAGGAGAATATATCGATAACTACTTTCTTGCATTCTGTAAGCAAGAGGGTATTCAGAGACAATTTACTGTTGCACATACACCTTAACAAAATGGTATAACAGAGCGGATGAATAGAACTCTACTAGATAAAACGAGAGCTATGTTGAGAACTGTAGGTCTAGCCAAGTCATTCTGGGTAGAAGCAGTCAAAACCGCCTGTTATGTAATAAATCAGTCACCATCAACTGCAATTAATTTGAAGATCCCAATGGAGATGTGGACCAGTAAGCCAGCATAATATTCTTCTTTACATGTCTTTGGATGTCTTGCATGCATGATGTATAATTCTCAAGAAAGAACAAAGCTAGATCCAAAGTCCAGGAAATGCATATTCTTGGGATATGCTGATGGAGTTAAGGGGTATTGCCTATGGGATCCCACTGTTCATAAGGTTATTATTAGCAGAGATGTGATATTTGTAGATAATCAACTACAAAGTGAAGAAAATGATAGCACTCCAACAGAGACTACTACTGTTCAGACAAAAGATAAGTCAAAATATGAAGATTCTTCTGAAGCAGCACCAAAGCACGAAGGACAAGACTCAAATGAGTCCAATGATATTGAAGTTCGACGATCAACACGTCAGACAAGAAAACCATCATGGCAGTCAAAGTATGTTATGGCAAGTAATTCTGCATATTGTCTTCTAACAGAAGATGGAGAGCCATCAACTTTCCAGGAGGCCTTAAACAGTCTTGTTGTTTTTTTGTGGATGACAGTAACGCAAGAAGAAATAGAAGCTTTGCACAAAAACAAGACATGGGAACTTGTGTCACTACCACCCGGACGAACAGCTATCAATAACAAATGGGTCTACAAAATCAAACGAGATAGCAACAACCAAGTGGAGCAATATCATGCAAGATTGGTGGTGAAAGGATATGCTCAGAAAGAAGATATTGATTTTAATGAGATATTTTCTCTTGTTGTCAGACTAACAACTGTTAGAGTAGTCTTGGCTATGTGTGCTAGTTTTGATTTACATCTAGAGCAATTAGATGTAAAAACTGCTTTTCTTCATGGAAAACTTGAAGAAGAGATTTACATGCTCCAACCAGAAGGGTTTGAAGAAAAAGGAAAGGAAAACTTCATTTGTAGGTTAACCAAATCTTTGCATAGTCTAAAGCAAGCGCCAAGATGTTGGTACAAGAGATTTGATTCCTACATTATTAGCCTCAAATACAACAGACTAAGTTCAGACCATTGTACATATTACAAGAGGTTTGAAGATGATAGTTTCATTATTTTGCTGTTGTATGTGGACGACATGTTGGTAGCAGGTTCCAACAAAGATCGAGTCCAAGAGTTAAAGGCACAATTGGCTAGGGAGTTTGATATGAAGGATTTGGGACTTGCAAACAAGATTCTAGGGATGCAAATTCACCGAGACAGAAAAGACAAGAAAATTTGGCTTTCTCAGAAGAATTACCTCAAGAAAATCTTGCGGCACTTCAATATGCAAGATTGTAAGTCAATCTCTACCCTGTCAATTTTAAATTATCCTCAAGTATGAGTCCTAGCAATGAAGCAGAGAGGATGGAAATGTCTCGAGTACCGTATGCATCAGCAGTGGGAAGCCTTATGTATGCCATGACCTATGTGAGACCAAATATTGCTCAAGCAGTTGGCATGGTCAGTCGATTTATGGCAAATCCTAGTAGAAAGCATTGGAATGCTATTAAGACAATCCTTAGATACGTTAAAGGAACCTCGGATGTTGCATTATGTTATGAAGGATCAGAATTTACTATCAGAAGTTACGTTGATTCAGATTTTGTAGGAGATGTCGATAAAAGAAAATCTACTACAGGCGATGTTTTCATACTTGCAGGAGGTGCAGTAAGTTGGGTATCAAAGTTACAGACTGTTGTGGCCTTGTCTACAACTGAAGCTGAATACACGGCAGCTACACAAGCTTGTAAGGAAGCAGTTTGGATTAAAAGACTACTAGAAGAAATTGAACACAAACAAGAGAAAATTTCTTTGTATTGTGATAGTCAGAGTGCCTTGCATATTGCAAGAAATCCAGTTTTCCATTCAAGAACAAAACACATAGGGGTTCAGTATCATTTTGTTCGAGAAAGTGTGGAAATGCAAAAGCTTCACACAAAAGACAACTTGGCAGATGTCATGATAAAGCCAATCAACATTGACAAGTTTATATGGTGTAGATCCTCCTATGGCTTGTTAAAGCTGTAAGCAACATGAAAGTGGCAAGTTTAGAAAGGATTGAGGAATAGTAAAAAGTGAGTTAAGTGGGTGAATGTGAGTTGTAAACTCACTTTTTACAACTTGGCTGTCAAAGGTGGCTATCAAAGATGGTGGGATGCATTAATTGCCAAGGAACCACCATTGCAGTTCTATAAATAGAAGTGTAGGAACTCAATAGAGATGAGTTACCATTTTTAGAATTTTCTCCTTCCTTTTGTTGTAGCAAAAAGTTATTTCTCCTATTCCAAGAGAGAATTTTATTTGCTTTTCTCCTTGCATTTAAAGAGAAGTTCTTGTAACTCATATTTTGCTATAGTGGAAATCCTTCTTTACTTGCCCGTGGTTTTTCTCT